CCTAATACTTCCCCCATCTACTGGAGGCATTGGAAACTACTTTGGCCAGGAAACCGGAGTCATGAGGTGGGAACGTTACCCCTAGACTACGGAGGCTGCTGAGGTGGAAACTTAGTTTCAGCCTTGGGCAGTACACGACAGTATTACAGGCAGAAGTATATGCCATTAAGGCATGTATTATGGAGAATCTAGATAAGAACTACAGAAATAGGAACATCTACGAGTACATTCTATCTGACAGCCGAGCTGCACTTAAAGCACTTGACAAACACCAGATGAACTCAAAATTTGTCTGGGATTGCCACCAAACTCTCACGGAAGGTGCCAAACATAACAGGGTACAACTGATATGGGTGCCAGGGCATGAGGGTATTGCTGGAAACGAAATAGCAGACCAATTGGCCAAGATTAGAGCTGAACATCCGTTCATAGGACCTGAACCGACCTGTGGCATCTCTATAGGAGTTTCCAGAAAGGCAATCAGGGACTGGACAAATATGAATCACAAGAAATACTGGGGATCCTTAAGTGGACTCAGGCAAGCAAAGGGACTCATATGAGGACCCTCTACTAAAAGAGAAAAAGAACTGTTGAAGTTAAACAGGAACCAGCTACAATGGTTGGTAGGACTACTTACAGGACACTGTCACCTCACAGGACATCTCTTCAAATTGGGACTAAGTAACAGTTCAACTTGTGAGAGGTGTCAAGAAGAAAAAGAAACAGCCACACATATCTTGTGCGAATGTGGGGCCTTAGATTATTTAAGATTGCGCCACTTGGGTCAATATTTTATGGAACCAAGTGACTATTTCAATGTCCCCATATACAAAATCCTACGCTTCATTCGAAGCGCAGGATTGTTGAGAGGATAATCAGAAGGGGAGGCACAAGAGATCACTGTGGTTGCGGTGATAGGGCCAAGAAGACTCACCCCATATACATTCATTCATTCATATTTCTGTGCACTGCAATTATGTCTGTTGACCGCTGCACTGACACATCACTTGTGTTAGGCTGGTACCCCAGGAATCCTTATTTTCTCAACAACATTCTTGGTCTCCTGTTCCAGACAGCTTGCAAACAGTTCCTTGTTACTTCATTAGTCATTGGTTCCACAAGCAGCAGCACCTTAGGTAGTTTCACAATTCCTCACTACATATAGCAATAGTTTCATGCTCTCTGCTAACTCCATCATCACTGGAGTCCCTTGCATTTTTCAACGACTGAGGGTTTTGTGACAACAGATTTTGCACCTATATCCCAGGTGGTGCAGCTGGATGGCATATTGAAATGTAGTGGCATTTCACTGGCATTGCCTCTTTGGCTTAGCAGCTTACTATTTTCTTTCTGAAGATGAATCACATATTTCTCAAAGGTGAGAAACTTCTGGAGAAGTAAAGTTCTTGATTGCAAAGAAAACCCATTCCTCCACATGGTTTGTACACACTACCCTATAATGGCCTTAAATTTCTGCCACTTAAAGTGTTTAACAATATCACATGAAAGTGACTTCCCATTCTGTCTTTCAGTCCATTGAGTGATTTTTATGTAGAACTGGCATTCCTTATTTTTTGTTTATGCTGTCGCCACCTACAGACATCTAACTCATGAATACTGCATTTTCTTACTGCTTTACAGCTGTTTCCTTATTCTGCATACATAATCAATGTAATGTCAGGACCATCTACAATGGCACAGATGATACTGTACAATGGTACATCACGATTTTAGTTTAATAACTCTGACAATATATTGGGCAAACCTGTGACTGTTCATTGGTTCTGATCTTGAAACATATTACTCTCTCTCGCTTTCTTGCTTCTTTCTGTGAACTTTGTCATGAAGCCGATAAAAGTTCAAAATGGATATAAAAAAGTATATCACTTGAATTCATGATAAAATGTAACTCTGTGACTCTTAAAATTAAAAAAAAATGTCTTCCATCTGGGTAAATGTGATATTTAACCCTTCTGACATCAGATGCTGATATGCAAAATAGAAGTACATAGATTCTAAAGGGTTCTGTCAGTGGTATATAACACTTACGATTATAGAGATTTTGGACTTTGCCCATCTTACAATATCCTGAGAATCATAACATTTTGGAAACTGGATCAGTGTCCATCCTTGGATGAAAGGGTGGGCTGAGACTATTCTACCAGGTTTGTTAAAAACAATTAACCTCATTCACTGAACAACCTATTAGTATAACTAATACTAGTTTTGCACCTGGCCTCAGGTAGTCAGCGGGAGATAACAGGAACATGTATAGTAACAATTGTGGAAATACACATAAACATCTGAAACTGAGTGAGAGATGAATGTGGAAAATGCTTGCATCAAGACAAACCAATAACAAAATCCAGAAACACAAATGTAGAGAAAAATAAAAAATGTTCATGTTTTACAACACTCATTATTCACTACCAGTGCCATCTGCAATAACAAATTTAACCACAGAACTAAAATCATATAGTCACTCATGAAAAGGGTGTCAGTTCATACTGACCTTCCCTGTAAGTTGCTAACCACACTGCTGATAAGAGGAATCCAAATGGGAGAAACTTCCACACTGGGTTGCCAGATCAGATCTGTTGAACACGCCATATGGGATGAAGCTAGGATTTTGGAAAATGGAAGTGACAGCAGGTGTATTTTCCAAAATCCTAGCTTCACCCCATTCTATTCTACGACCTTCTTCACAGGTATGTTGGACCAGTTTAAATTTTTATAGAAGATCCTCTCTAAAACTGTGCTTGTGTCTGCAGAGCCAAATGGCTAGTGGTCTGTTTCACCAAACTAGCCTCTACCACATTCACAGGGAATACTACAGATGCAGTGTGCAGACTGTTGTGGATCTCTTTCTGATCTTGTTCTGAGTAAACTCTCTAAGTGAGTGTGTTTTCAAAGATGTCCTAATGTTGTAACAATGCCCTATATGTTTGAGCTTTTCTCAAATGTTTTTCACATAGACAAAGAGCCAAGAGGTTTTTTTTTTGGTTTTTTTCTGGACTACTATCTCCCTTGGAATTAGGATGTGTAACAATGAAACACTGGGAATAACTGCTGGGCTGAAGATCACAGCTAGGGTTGTAATAAAATTAGGTATGCTTACCAATGGAAAGCTTCAGAACAAAACCTGGGATGCCTAACCACTGCCACCTGTGGTATTCTGACAGCAGTCATATAAAACTAATTTTCCTTTATTTCATGAAATGAAGTTTTCTAGAGTAACGAGTCCTTTACGCTACGAGTTTAAGCTAAATGCATGTCCTGGAGTTCCAGCCATAAGACAAATGTGTTGAATCTTACCTTCTTCCCTGAGACCAGCAATTGTTTCTGACTTTTTATCCAGTTGCTCTCCTAGTCGAGCAGCAGCACTCAGACCTTCTTTCGCTTCTGCTAACTGAACCTAAAAACAAAAGGGTAAATAAATAAAGGTATATAAACACTACAGAAGAAGTGTGCATCATATGGTTCTCTCTCAGAGATTGTGATAATGAAAAGGCGCAAACAAGCAAGACTACTGGGCCCTAAACCATTAGAACAAAGTGGTCATTGTACATGCCACCCACTTTAACATTAACCGTTCAGCGTGGTTTGACGTGTATCTTTTGTCAAGGTATTTAAATCATCTGCGGGGGTTTGACGTCAATGTTTCGTCCAGCTGCACACCTATGTTATAACACCCATGACAATTGATGGTTTTGCTGTAGATTGTTAGATTTTTCGCTGGCCTGTTGTCAGGAGAACTATATTTAATGAGACACGAGTTTAGGAGTGCTAAGTCATCGTTACATATGCCTGTCTTGCAGCAAATTCCTGTTGCTTCTGGTAGAAGTTTCCTCATTCAAACTCTTATGAATGGCATGTTTTCTTTCCTATGAAGTTATAAACAGCAGAGACGTGATATGTGCTGTGTTTATAATATCATATTGCCCTGAGCTGGCCACACTAACACACTCAATTGGAATTCTTAGAAGAGGGATGTCCAAATTTTATTCTTGCAAGATCGATTGATTTCGCACAGTACATGGCAGCCAGTTCTTAAAAAAACGCCACAAATTAAGGCAGAACACTGTGGTCACCCCCTGTGACGATACGGGTGTGTGTGGGGGAGGGAAAAGAACTCATTCCTTCATGTATTATCGCTCCAGTTGACTCCATTTTATCGTACTGACCTTGGTGGTCGTTTCGAGGGATGACCATAAATATTTTTTTGAGCCAGCTAAGCTCTGCTTTCGTTCACTACATACCAGCCAGTTCTTAGAATAACTTCATGAATTCTGTGGTCACCCCTACGACGTCTTATGCCGCCAAAATGGATGGAAAATGAAACGCAGAAGCACCAACACTTGTTATGATAACATAAAGGTTGAATTTACTGCAGCTAATCTGGCTAGCGATACGACTCACGGAGAGACATTTCTTCTTGTATTCCCCCCACGGGGAAGAAGGCAAGGCCGCACAGAAGATGTTTGGTTTACGGAAAAAAGAGCCAAATGAGAGATATGCAGTACTGGTGTGGTGAATGTGAGACAGCGCTGTGTATAGTAGAATGCTTCAATGCGTACCACACTCCGCTCAAATTCTGAACCACCTGCTTCCTTTGCCGAGATACCGGGCGCTCATATTATAAGGCAAGGTTATAAAACCATCTTTTAAGATCATTTTAGTGAAAGTTTCATGCTTCAAGGCGTACGATACACTGCTCAAATTCTAAACCGACTGCTTCCATTGCAGAGATACCGGGCACTCATATTATAAGGCAAGGTTATAAAACCACCTTTTAAGATCATTTTAGTGAAAGTTTCATGTTCCTATCTCATATAATTTAAGAACAATGATGAATAAATCATTTTCAAGCAAAATTTAAATGGACGGCTGAATATATTACCGCCGGTGAGACACGGCAGCGGAATTTAAATGACCGCGCAAAAGGGTTAAAAAACTTTCTGCATTTTGTGAAGTGTATTTGTGTGTTTCATTTGATTTCAGAATAAACAGAGATTACCTTCACACACATCATGAACTGATCACGCTTTGTAATGGAGATGAAACGTTATGAGATACAATGCGACTTTTTATCCCTCTGAATGCTAAGCCCCCTCACAGAGCTACCTGTTAGAAATGCCAAAGCGCAATGGGAGCAAATACAGTTGCATAGAAAAATCCATGATACTTCCTCAAATTGCCTTTGATCAACAACAGAAAAATAGCGAGAAAACCTGTTTCTTCCTCTAAGCAGCAGTCTATTTCACTTAATGCCAACATCTGGCAGAAATGTACTAAGAGATTAGCGCTGAACTGATCTCTTTGGCTTTGGCAGTTTTAACACAAGCAAACTGTGCTGATCTAATTGGCTAATGGCTTAAACATTGCTTAGAAGAACTTCAGACTTCAAAGGGCTGAGTTGTGTTTTATTACTGGGCTGTAACTGGCAGAACTCATGATGCCATGATCCTTGCTGGTATTTGTCTATGCTTGTGGTTCTGCCATATTGATGATAATTCCTTGCACCAACAGGTCATGTTTCAAACCAACTTTAAAGGAAAAATCTAATCAACAAAGCATTTTTGGTATAAATAAACATGGTCTCTAGAAGCAATTCATTACATTATCTATTGTGTATCAAAATTAAGTTCAGCTAAGAATTTCACAAAAAAACAATTCAGTCAAGTTGTTTAGGGTGTACAGATGGAGAGTGATAACTAGGGACCGGATTTTAACGCAAATGCATATTTCTTTCTTGCAACCAGAAAGTATGCTCATTTGGATATATGTATCAATTACTTCATTTCTTAAATTTTGGACATGATTTGATGGTGCATATAAATGCATATTTTGCCTGTTTTATGAATAAGCATGATATTTTCGAAGATCTCTATTTATAATGCATATTTCCGTTTAAAATGTTTATCATATATATTTTTTAATTGTATGTTCAAAATTTCAGTCATGGTCGTGTGTATACAATTTTTCTTCTCCATGTTAGAATATGCTGCATAGTTGACTCAACATTTCGTCATGATTCATGTTTCTGATGCAGTACCCAGGACGGGACTTCCCCGATCCGTCTACTCGTAACTTGCCTCATTCACGTACCATCAAAGTGGCCGCGAAGAGATTAGTCAGAAGCGTTCACACATAGCCGCTACCAACGTAATACTATTCGACTGAAAAGGGAAATTTATTTCTGAAGTCTCCATGAGGTTCATTACGCTTCTTCATTTGAAGCTGGGGGCCGTTCACGTTTGGTGACCAGTCTGTAGTTAAGTTTGTTTAGCTTTCTGTAGTCATGCCAAAAGTTAAAGTCAGTCAGAAAACTAAATTACAGCTGTATCAGCGGGAGTTCGAGGGAGAGATGATAAGTACGGATAACGAAATTCTTTATTTCTGAGCGTGTGAGAAAACAGTTGTGAAAAACGTGTTCAATTGCTTCAGCATTTGAACATTAATATACGAGTACACAAAGAGAATATTAAAATTAAATCCACAAAAAGTGCTCCTGTTCAAAAATTGCTTAGTGAATTTTCTAATAATAGTTTTTCACAGTTTTCCTCTGATTTATGCGAAGCCTTTTTAGCGGCAGATATTCCACTGTGTAAACTAACCAGTCCCACTCTGAGAAACTTCATAGAGAAATATATACAGTGCAAAGTGCCGGATGAATCTACTGTGTGCAAAAATTACATGAAGCAGTGTTACGAACTTACAATTGAAAGCATTAGATGTAAGATTCAAGATAATTTTGTGTGGGTATCACTCGACGAAACACAAGATTGTGAGGGACAGTTTATTACAAATTGTATAGTTGGATCCCTTAACCGTTCAGCGTGCTTTGACGTGTATGTTTCGTCCAGCTGCACACGTATGTTATAACGCCCATAATAATTGATGGTTTTGCTGTAGATTGTTAGATTTTTCGCTGGCCTGTTGTCAGGAGAACTGTTTTTAATGACACACGAGTTTAAGAGCGCCAAGTCATCGTTACATATGCCTGTCTTGCAGCAAAGTTCCTGTGGCTATTGCGAGCGTTTCGACTGTTATGAATGCCGTTTCTTCTTTGCTATGAAGTTATAAACAGTAGAGACGTGATATGTGCTGTGTTTATAATATCATATTGCCCTGAGCTGGCCACACTAACACACTCAATTGGAATTCTTAGAACAGGGTTGTCCAAAAATTTATTCTTGCATGATCGATTGCTTTCGCACAGCATATAGCACCCATTTCTTAGAAAAACGTCACGAATTAAGGCAGAACACTGTGGTCACCCCCTGTGACGATACGGGTGTGTGTGGGGGAGGGAAAAGAACTCATTCCTTCATGTATTATCGCTCCAGTTGACGCCATTTTATCGTACTGACCTTGGTGGTCGTTTCGAGGGATGACCATAAATATTTTTTTTGAGCCAGCTAAGCTCTGCTTTCGTTCACTACATACCAGCCAGTTCTTAGAATAACTTCATGAATTCTGTGGTCACCCCTACGACACCTGGGGCAGCCAAAATGGTTGGAATCTGAAACGCAGTAGCAACAACCCCTTGTTATGATAACTCGTAACGTTGAATTTACTACAGCTGACCTGGCAACTAAACGGGTCACGGAAAGACATTTCCTTGAACTATACCCCTCACGGGGAAGAACGCAAGGCCGCACAGATGTGTGGTTAAAAAAAGAAGAGCAAAAGAAAATATACGCAGTATTGGTGTGGTGGGATGTGAGCCAGCGCTGTGTTTAGACGAATGCTTCAAGGCGTCACCTGCTTGATTGCCGAGATACCGGGCGTTCATATTATAAGGCAAGGTTATAAAACCACCTTTTAAGATCATTTTAGTGAAAGTTTCATGTTCCTATCTCATATAATTTAAGAACAATGATGAATAAATCATTTTCGAGCAAAATTTAAATGGACGGCTGAATATATTACCGCCGGAGAGACGGCCGCGGAATTTAAATGACCGCGCGGAAGGGTTAATAAGGATGAACAATCTACCCCATATCTTCTTGCGGTAGAGCAATTTGAAACCACAAACAGCTCCGCAGTTTCTGAATTTTTTATCAATTCCATGATTTGGCATTCAGTATGAGCGCGTATTGCTCTTTGTGACTGATGCTGCAAGTTATATGATGAAAGCCGTTACTGCTCTTAGTTATATTTCCAAATATGACACATTTGACTTGCCTTGCCATGGGTTGCTCCGTGTTGCAGAAACAATTCATGCAAATTTTCCGCTTGTTGAGAAGTTGGTGTCTTCTGTGGAGAAGGTATCTGTTAAAGCGCCATACGGAAAAGAAGCCTTTAAAGCAGTATCACCGAGCGTTCCACTTCTGCCAGAACCAACTTAACGCGCTGGGGCACATGGCTGTGTGCAGCGAGTTATTATACCGAACATTTAGAAACAGTTAGGAATGTCGTGAATACATTTGATCCCAAAATTGCCCAAGATGTACTAAAAAACCAAGAACTAGAAATTAATCTTTCCTACATACAACGTATCTGCTCAGTTCTCTCATCTTCCATCCGCCATTTCCTCACTGGAGGCAAGCAATAGCAATACTACTTTGTATCAGTCAGTAAATGTGTTCAAAACCACAGTTTCTAAACTGAATTCGGTTTCTGGAAGAGTTGAAGTAGTAAAGGAAAAAGTACACAGCATTCTTTCAAAGAATCCAGGATATGAACAAATTTGAGAAATTGAAGAAATTTTAGCCCGTAAATGTACTGAACTGTCAAGTAAAAAATCACTAGCAGTGGAGCAAAAAGTGGCTTTTGTACATGTGCCTCTAAGTTCCTGTGAGGTGGAAAGAAGTTTTACCCACTATAAGGGCATCTTACGAGACAATAAGAGCCGACTGACTATGGAAAACCTAAAATATTTAGTAACTGTGAACTGCAACAGAAGAGAAGCTGAAAGTTTGGAGAGCTAAATTTGAATACCATTGGTTTTTATAAATTTGTAATGAAATATGTTGGCTTTGTTGCATGATTTGTATTTCAGTATAGCTTTTTATTGCAAGCGAATCATTCAGTGATTACATATAATGAACTTAAATATTGATTTGTTGGTCTTAAAATAACGTAAAATCAATTTTAATGTTCGGTATATATTTTTATGTGCATATTATATTGCATATTTCAGAAGTTTTTCATGCATAAATGCATACATATTTTAGGGATTATTAGGGCATAAAAATCCGGTCCCTAGTGATAACCGATTCTTTGACATGCAGTTTTATCCGCAACTCAAATACAGTGGAACCTCTCTTAACAAGCACCTCTCATAACAAGCAAAACAGATTGTAAAAAAATGACTTACTTAACGAGCGATGTTTCGCATAACGAGTGATGAGAGGGGAAGTCCCGGATTGCGCGCTTGCTACATCAGTCTGTGTTTAGCACTTGTTCCGCTAGCATCTTAGTGTCGCTTGTGATCACACATTTTTCCAAACTTGTGTTCAGACATATTATTTGTGATTTTCTTTGTGCAAAGTTTAACCCTTGCAAAAATGTCCTTGAAGAAAAAGCCGCAGAAAGAGAGCCATAAGAGATTAAAAATAACCGTAGAAATGAAACATAAAATCATTGAAAAGCGAGAACGAGGTGTGAGTGTGGCTGATCTAGCACACACATACAATCGGTCTACATCAACGATTTGCACTATCCTCAAGAACAAGGAAAAGATTAAGGAGATAGATGCTTCAAAGGGAGTAACAAGAATATCTATGCAACAGTCATGTATTCTCAACGATGTTGAAAGGTTGCTCCTCATACGGATAAACTAAAAGCAATTGCAAGGCAACACTATTAACGAGAATATCATTTGTGAGAAGGCGAAAGTGATTTTCACCGACCTCGTTAACAAGACGCCAGGATCATCAATGGCTGAAGACGAAGCATTTAAGGGAAGCCGTGGGCGGTTTGAGAAGTTTAAGAGAAGAACCGGCATCCACAGCATTGTAAGGCACGGTGAAGCAGCAAGCTCCGACACAAAGGCAGCAGAGAACTTCATCGGTCACTTCAAGAAGCTCGTAGATTCTGAGGGTTACCTGCTGCAACAGGTTTTTAATTGTGACGAGACGGGTCTCTTCTGGAAAAAGATGCCGAAGCGAACCTATATAACAGCAGAGGATAATGCATTGCCCGGCCATAAGCCAATGAAAGACCGTCTCACACTGCTATTTTGTGCCAATGCAAGTGGCGATTTGAAAATTAAACCGCTGCTTGTTTACCATTCAGAAACTCCAAGAGCCTTCAAGAAGTGTAGTAAAGTCCAGAAGAGCAGGTTAAATGTAATGTGGAGATCCAACAACAAGGCTTGGGTGACATGTGACCTTTTAACTGATAGGATCAATGAAGTGTTTGGTCCTTCTGTGAAAAAATATTTGCTTGAGATGAAATCTGCCACTTGATGTCTTGCTTGTTATGGACAACGTTCCTGCCCATCCTCCAGACCTATAAGATAACCTCCTTGAAGAATTTAAATTAAGATCCAGTTTCTGCCTCCCAACACCACTCCATTACTCCAGCCTGTGGACCAGCAGGTTATTTCTAACTTTAAGAAGCTGTACACTAAAGCACTCTTCGAGCATTGTTTTGAAGTGACTGAAGGGACCAATCTCACTCTCAGAGAGTTTTGGAAATATCACTTCCACATTGTTGCCTGCCTCAAGATGATCAAAAAGGCGTGGGAAGGGGTTACCAAGAAAACCCTCACTTCTGCTTGGAAGCTTTGGCCGGAGAGCATTGTTGAATGTGACTTTGAGGGGTTTGAGATAGTACCTGTGGAGCCCGTAGTCAACAAGATTGTGTCTTTGGAAAAGATCATGGGGCTGGAGGTGGATAACAATGATATCGATGAGCCTGTGGAAGAGCACAGCCAAGAGCTGACCACTGAAGAGCTTATGGAGTTACATTGTGTTTCACAGCAAGATGTTGTGGAGGAGAGTTTGTCAGAGGAGGGGGAGGAGGTAACAGCAAAGCAACAATCTTCTGGCACAATAAGAGAAATGCTGAAAGCATGGGAAACTGTTGCATCGTACATTGAAAAGCATTACCCTAATAAGGCAGTGGCGATGCGCGCTACAAATTTATTTTGAAGCGTCAGGAAAAAGAAATGTCTCTAGACAGCTTTCTAGTAAAAAGAATTAGATATGTATCATCTATATAAACAAAAATGCAAATCTTCGTTTGTTAGCCCTCGAAAATATCTGAAAGTTCTTCACCGATTGCTTCGAAATTTTGACACAATGTTGCATTCGAATGCGCGCATTTTTATATACCTACTAGCTGTACCCGGCCACGTGTGAATCCGGAAAGTATACTTCCATGGAAATGCAATAACATTTGCATAGGAATTGCCGAAACAACAAACGCGTTTCCCCAGAGATTAAAGGATAAGAGGTTCCGTTGCGTAACAACGGATGAAACCGGGAAGTATACTTCCATGGAAACGCAATAACAGTGGGCCGTTGCATAGGAATTGCCGAAACAACAAACACGTTTCCCCAGAGATGAGAGGATAAGAGGTCCCATTGCATAACAACGGATGAAACCAAACACTTCTACAAGGCGTTCTGTGCTAGCATTTCCTAAGCAACAGATGAAACTAACTCTTCCATAAGGTATTCCCTATCCCGTCCAAACGCTGGCTATATGTATAAGAGAGTGTAGCTCCGGCGATTGTTCAGTATCACGAGTGTCTCGAGTATCACGAGGTCACAAGTATCACAAGAGATTCTGAGTGAAATCACAGCAGAGATCCTGAGTTTGCACTCAGAGTTTTGGATTCGACTCTGGCAGCGTTTCCCCGGTGATAGACAACAGAAGGCTCATTGTATAGCATCCGCCGAGGTATAAATAGTTCAGCTTTATTTTTCATTGTTTTTCATTTCGTTTTCTTAACTGTTCCCCTTATTTTTCAGTGCAGTTGGCGGTGGGATTGAGCTGTGTCGATTGATCTGTGTTTGAATTGAAATATTTCGTTAGTATTTTCTATTTTTTTGTTTCTTTGTTTTCCAGTTCATGTTCTTTCCTTTTTTAATGTTTTGCAATTTTATATGTTTTCGTTATAACTTTCTTTCTTCTTCTTCTTCTTCTTCAGTGCAATCGATCTGCTTTAGTTCATCCAAATAATGCCTCGCGGAAGATCAAACTTAGGTCGTCGTACTCGCAGAGTGGAAGCAAGGCGTCGAGTAATTGCAAATCAAACTGGGGAAGAACGGGCATCAGCGAATGAGACAAAGAATGGCTCAAATACGTGCCGAGGAAGCAGCAGAGCGATGTGCAGCCAGGCTTGAGGATGCATGGTTGCAAGCACGTCGATCTCGTTCTGCAGCCTCTGATCTGCTTCGTTCTCAACAGAATGAATGCAACAGGCTGAGAGTGGCTAAGTATAGTTTATTTTTCATTGTTTTTAATTTCGTTTTCTTAACTGTTTTCCTTATTTTTCAGTGCAGTTGGCAGTGGGATTGAGCTGTGTCAATTGATCTGCGTTTGAATTGAAATAGTTCGTTAGACTGAGCCACAGCAACGTGTGGCCAGGTACAGCTAGTAAATAATAAACTAATTATTTCGATTTTTTTTTGTTTTGTTTGGTTCATTCCGCATAGAAGAAAAGATGAAGATGATTCATGCTCCTTAACAATGTATATATAATTTTCTTTGAATAAACGTTATACATAAATTTTTTGAGTATTTTTTGGCATGGAATGCATTATCGTATTTTACATTAATTTATATGGGAAAGACTGTTTCGCATTATGGGTAAGATTCTGGAATGAATTATGCTCGTTAAGCGAGGTTCCACTGTAAATACGTACTTGTATTCATCTGAAATGGGAAATTACAGAACTTTATTCAACATTTCTGTGCAACCACTGATGAAACAACCAATCAGGCAAAGAATGTTGATTATTTTACACTTAGCCAATATTTTCCATCTTTTTCTTTATGAAAAATATGTCTCATGTCTTCTTACAGAACACTTTCACATGACAATACTTCAGAACTCTAGTGAATTAAAACTTAACGGAATCTTACTTTGAGCACAGCTATTTCTGCACACAGCTCATCATGTAGCTCCTGTGCTCCCTGAAGCTGCTGCTGTAGTCTCTCTGTTGCCGAGTCTATCTCCCTCTCTTTATCTGCCAACATATGTTACAATGGTTACACATTTCATTGGACATAGCACACACCACTTGGCAGCAACAACTTCTTTCAGTTTTTAAAACAATCCTTTCACAGCCATGATACACAACATATCTCTGGCATCTTCAAAAGAACACAACACAAATATTTGGAACCCAAGAGTTAAAAATTCTGACTCTTCTCCTATGAAGTTAGAACATAATACAGAATACTATTAAGTTCTGGCATTATTTTGGTTGTATTTTACACTATGTAGTTTTAATTATTCAGTAAATGGCAACAAATTTTGTTAACCTGCCTATGTAGGCTGATTTCTACATCATTTCATACAGTGCATTGAGCTCTGTTCCATGTTTAAAGGACTAATGGCATGCAGCCACTAATAATTTCTTTTCTCTATTATCTTAACATATCTGTAACATGTATAAATAGACAATTTGTTTATTAAAACTAGGCACTGGCCTTAATATTGTTGTGTTGTGATGATTTTAATAAAGAAATTGTATATTATAACACAATAGGATGCATGAAATGAAAATGAAAAAAAAAAAAATCTAATTCTTAATTATTTTTTTCTTTAATGCCAGAGGGGTGGGACTAAGTCCCTTGTACTGTGGCTACTTCTGGCCTATTGTACCAGCCCCAGATGATAGGTGAGGGTGATTGTGGAGCAATTAGTGGAATGAAGATTGGCAGGGGAAACCGAAGTACTCTGAGAAAACCTGCCCCAATGCCACTTTGTCCACCACAAATCCCACTTGACCAGGCCCGGGATTGAGGCTGGGCCGCTGAGGTGGGAAGCCAGTGACTAACCGCTTGACCTATGGCAATGTCTAAATAGGCATAACTGTGGGAAGAATGAAGATTAGATTAATTTTAGAGTAAACCAAAATAAGAACTTGCAATATGTTCTTGGCAGTTAATTCAGTATTTCAGTATATAGGTAACTGGAAGCTACAAAGTACAGGGAGACTGAGAAGTTGTGCAAATGACACTAAGCAATTATATTTTGCTGGTTTACTGCACAAACTTCAAGACATACAGCACTTACCATTAATGTTTATAACCTTACATCTTAGAAATGCAAAATCAGATCATGTCTTTACAACATATGCTCAAAATGGCTTCCCTGTTCAGCAATGCATGTGCGAGCTCTTTTTACCAAGTTTGAGGCCACTTTGTGGAGCACCTGTAAACTGATGCTGTTAATCGCCATCGTAATGTTCCTCTTGAGGTCATCCAGTGTATGCGGATTGTTTTTATAGACAATTCCTTTGAGATATCCCCAAAGGAAAAAATCTGTGGGTGACAAATCGGGTGAACATGGGGGCCACAATCCTTTCAAAATGAGATGGTCACCAAAAAACTCGCATAAGAACTGCATGGTTTCATTAGCTGTGAGACATGTGGCACCGTCTTGCTGCAACCTGCACGCCCGTTTATCAACTTCAAGAAGTGCAATAAACTGTGTAATGATGTCTTGGTACACTGGACTGTTCACTGTTGTTTCAAAGAAAACTGGGCCCATTATTCGATGACGTGATACAGCACACCACACTCCAATTTTCTGACAGTACAAGGGCTTTTCATGCAACACATGTGGATTTTCAGATTACCAAATCCTATTGTTTTGACTGTTCATGTAGCCACAAAGGTGAAACCATACTTCGTCAGTGAAGAAAACCCGATCAAACTCTTCAATTCCATGGTTGCCAAGAAATGTCAAACAAAAACTCCTTATTCTTGGGAAAATGTCATGTCTGTCACACAATAAACAAAGCTATACTGCAGATGTCGTATGACCAATACATGTCAGGTGGCGTTCCTACTGGTTATTATTACTCCTACAGTACAATCTAGCAGTATGAGATATAATTATATTAACTGCAATACAATTTATAACTTTTAGTTTGATGTGTGTGACTTTTTGATCTCCCTGTACTTTCACTTAACACCTGCTATTCTACCAAGAACGATTCTGATAAAAGTGAACTGTGCAGAGTTCTGCCTTCTGGAATACAATGCTGCGCAGTACACTGAAAGTCAACTGACATTTCTGAGCAAAATGACATCTGCATCTTTAGGGCCAAAGAATAAGCCAAGCACAAATCCCGCATGAAAGCATGTGGTAACATGTTCCTTGTAAACACTGGTAGACTTCCAACAGGCTACACATCATTATATGCCAGAAGGCAGAACTCTTCATAACCACCGTCAGAACCTCAAATCCTAGAAAGTAAATCATGCCCATCTCCCACCTAAAGACAAAAAAAAGATTAAAATAAATTATGCGAACTGTAACTTTACCTAGAGAGTATGTCTTCTGGGTTGTAACACCAAGTAGTTTGGAACAGCCCAATGTTTTGGAGCATTGCATCACCTCCACCTTCTGGGTCAGAGAGTAAACCAAGCAAGAAACCAACAAAAGCAGATGAAAAGCGATATTTTCCTCCAAAATGTCAGGCTCTCTCCAAATTACACAATATTAAAACTCAGAAGATAACCTTCATAATCACTGCAAAGAGAACCTTAAAAAAAGAAAGGGGGTGGGTTAGTGCTGTTCTGAAGGGGTGTGAAAGTTTATCTCTCACCTTAATGGGGCAATACAGGTTCAAGATGTCCGAGAACATGGTTATGAGAAAAACGTTGGGATCTAAGTGACAGAAAGTAACAGGAGACTATAACTATGTAATAAGGAGCAACATTATTTGCATGCCACATAAAATTTTTTAAGATGAACTCAAGGAGGGCAGGACACACAGCATGCATATGAGAAATAAGAAACATAAACCAAATTTTGTCTGAAAACTTGAAGGTAAGATGACTGGTCTACGGCTATACCTGGTTGGAATACACAAAAATGGCTACTAAGCATGATGTGAGGATGTGGCTAAGGACAGGGTCCAGTGACCATTCGAACAGATGTTGTCAGCAATACGAGACAACTATTTGGAGACACAGAACAGGAACATAAGTCAAAGGTACTGCCACTTGAGGCAATGTACTGTACTTATAAGCAGTGAATGAGAGCCAACATGGCACAAATATTCCTTGATGCTGAGAATGAGAGAAAATGAACTACGAAGATACCTTGAGATACTAACTGCACTATGTGTGTGTGTGTGTGTGTGTGAAACAGGGTACACAAATTCTAATTCACAGCTGCATAAGACATAAAAGGCTGGCAGGCTGACACCCTGTCCAAGCAGACCAATGCATCATAGCAGCTCTTAGAGAAAATGGCATGCACTTTGGTATACCATGCATACTTTCAATCCTTGTTATCATATGGATTGATATTTTGGGGTCATTCATCAAATGCAGAGTCGATTTTTAAGTTACAAAAGAGAGCCATTAGAGCCATAATGCAGGTAACCAAAACTACTAGCTGCAAACAGTATTTCAAATCACTACACGTATTACCTCTACCATGTCTCTATATATATGAAACACTAGTTTACATGAAATCCAACTCGAATACCTTCATAACCAATGCAAATGTACACTCATATAATACAAGAAGGAAAGAGGACTTATACATTGTTCCATGCAATACAAGCTTGTGTAAAAACAAGTTCAATAATCTTGGTCTTCGTCTTCTAAACCACCTACCGCAATACGATACCAGCATTATGTAAATTTAAAATTACTTTGAAAACATTTCTTTTATAGCATAGATGAGTTCCTCTCCTATGTGGACAAGACTTAGTTCACATTAGGATCATATAATAATTTAAAAGTAAGAACAATTGAGCTTAGCTTAACACACACTAGGAGTGTATACTGCGTAACTCTCTTCTTGCAGGAAACAGGACGCCATGTGCTGGAGAAAACACAGCAGGGACTNCCCCCCCCCAATAGTAACATCATGAAACTTTATTATACTATAACTACACAAGAATGACATGTCTTGTATCATGTATAATGATCCATGGACACGAAATAAATGAAATGAAATGAAATATATCACATCTTATTGGAAATGACATATAAACAGTCCTTTTCAAAACCTCACATTTTGGAAGGGTTAAAAAAAAACTAAGCTGGTAATTTTAATAACATCCAAATAATACATGAATTTGTCACTGTTTGCAAAGCATCTTATTCAACTGACACAGCTGTTTCGCAGATTTAATGAATCCAGTAATAAAGTTCAGTTTGCAAGGTTGGGATACACAAGATCCTTACAATAATTCCACAGAAGAGAATCGAAAGGACTTATTCCAGAGATCTAGGAGAATATGCTTCATGGTTTCACGTCCAATCCCTCTTACAATAACAGTTTACATCTTGTCAGAAGTATCTGAATGGTCACATGTTAAACTAAATCACTAGTCAACTTGAAAAACGAAACATGTTCCAAGTTACTGTTCTACCGAGTACAGGATAACTACCATGTGGGGGGAGGGGCTTGAAGTACATACTTCAGTACAATCAATTCTGTACGTGAGAATGAACCTGATTTCTCTCAAACTTACAGTAACAGTGATGATATTCCATGGGTAATTAAAGTCACAGAATAGTTGTGTGATATGCTCTCACCTTTCTGGAACTGCTCTAACACAATCTGCAGGTTACGCAGCGCTGCTGAGTGATGGTGAATTTGATCCTCAGCAGCTGATAGTTTCAACTGTAAATCATCCCTTTGCTGGGCTATCAACCGAGCCTGGCCCTGCAGGGACTCTACATGCTGATTGGCTCTGATGCTGAAAAAGCCAATACAAATAAAGAATTAGTACTGAATTTCCTAAATTTGAAGAGTTCTACCTTCTGAGATGTAACATCATGCAGACCACTGAAAATCCAGTGACGTTTCAAAGGAATGTCTTGCCTCCATCTTCAAGGTTGAAGAATAATCCAAGCAAGAAAGCAAATACCTGCTTCATGTTGGTTTCTTGCTCGGATTACTTTTTGACCATGAAGATGGAGGTGACGTGTTCCTTCGAAACGTCAGTTGGCTTTCAATGGTCTAAATGACATTAAATTCCAGAAGACATAAATCTTCATGACTGCTGTGAGCACATCAAATCATACTTTCCTAACTTGTTGGCTGAGTCACCTTCTGGTATCATTCTTTAAAGTTGTAAAGCTCTGCAAGAAAATGGGAAAATATACAACTTCAACAAAAATAACTGAATGATTATATTCTCAGTGTGGAGAGGTACCTAGGAAAATACTCATAATTTTGTTAAACAAGTACAAAAGCAATAATTACTGGTAAACACATTTTGGAATTCTGAAGGATTACATATTGCAGGTTGCTCTTGGTTTCAGACTGCTACCTTGCAGATGTGTATGCTGTAGAGGAATTCTTGATTCTCTCTTCAGCAAGCACCAATTTGTTCTGTAGATCCTTCACCTGCTCCTCAGCTTTCAGCGCCTCCTGCGTATAGCTCTCCTCTACTGCCACCAGATGAAGTCGTAACCTGTCAAGCTGCTTCAACAGCACACTTTCTTTCTCACACTGTTCATGTACCTGGTACAGAAACATAAAGATACAGAAATAACATAAGCAAAGTTTCCCTCATGATGAATGTCATAGACTGAGTACAAATTAATATTTTACTTCACTTTTCTCTCTCAAAACGCTAATTAGTAACTTTAATTTTCTCTTTAAGAATGCTCCTCAGCTTAGAAATGGTCATCCTATGAAAATAAAGAACAGACAATATCCTTCATAAGTCAAAGTCATACAGCATGTGAAGTCATGAGATAGTAGTACCAATGTACCAATATTACTGGAAGGGCAATGAGCAAATATGAATAAACTTGAAGAAAGCAGTCTTCTGGGATTTGGCACCGTGTACATGTGGTGTTAACCGACGTTTCAGAGGAACGTATAGAAGGAAAAATATAAGAAATCTGCAGGTGACCTCAAATCTTACATGAATAAACTTATTACACATACACTATGTATACAGGTGTCATCAAACTATTGCACATATATGTACAAGCTTTGCACCTATAAATTCCTTGAGAGAAACTACTGCTGGATAACAAGTTACATATTTCTGATTTTTTTTCAATAAAACAGATATTTATATACTTGTGAAAAGTAGCAGCTTACCGACATTAACATATTTAATAACAATAACAAATTAGAACTCTAGGAAAACTTGTACTTTACGGATAACAGTAAAATAAAAACTGTGAATACTAATGGTGGCGTGGTCAGAACGTAATGGAGTTTTGTTTGATTTGGTACAGAATGACACGATGATGATGATAATGATGATGATGACAGCGGTGGCAATGATGTTGCTGAAGGTTATAAACTTAACAGTCATTCCAGCTACAGAACTGCCACAAGTTACTGGGCCAATTCTTCTTTCAGAAACAAGACAAACAAATGTAAGTTTTGAGGTTTTCACGGCGATGACTATGAAGAAAGTCGTCTTCTGGGATCTGGCGCCGTGTATTCTTGGTTTTAACCGACGTTTCGGAGGAACATATCGCCTCCATCTTCAGGGCAGTTGAACTGCGTTGCGAATACAGAGAGCAGTAGCTGCAGCTACTGCTCCTACTGCTCTCTGTGTTCGCAACACAATTCAACTGCCCTGAAGATGGAGGCGATATGTTCCTCTGAAACGTCGGTTAAAACCAAGAATACACGGCGCCAGATCACAGAAAACGACTTTCTTCAAGACAAACAAAGTTCAATAAATGAGTAAAAATAGGTTACTGAATGATTTTCTTCCAAATTCATGAGTTACAAATAGTAGGATGGCCACAATAAAAAGACTGTACAGCACAATTATGGCCTACTGCAACATATGTATACTCCAGGAAAATCATGAAAAACATGAGACATGATAATTCGTCTGTCTGAGATCTAAACCTGTGATTTGTATATGAACAACTTAACTGACAGGTTTTGCCATTTGAAGAGATATCATACTAATGTCGTAAGAAATCAGCATCTTACCTCATTTTGCAGATATTTGTTTCGAGTCTGCTCTTGCAGGAGGCTGTCTGCCATTCGTTTGCATTCAGCCTGCAATGTTTCTAGCTGCATCCGAAGATCCTCAGGCAATGAGACATCCACATTCACTGCCTGCAAGCACATAAAAACATTACACAGTTGATTTAAAAGCATCCCTCTACATAGGATATACTGTTCTGATGTGCTGAATTGAGGTGGATACATTCTACTGGCAGCAGTGCATTCATAGGTTACAGCATGGTGTTTGGGGGAAAGACACAGGGGGTTTTCATGCTTATGGAATTAACTCTATTTCAGGCAGGGTGGCTGTGTCTTTGGTGGGGACGTATCATAGACCAGGGATGCGTTGAGACACAGCTTTGGAGCACCTCCTCGTGGTCCTGCTGGGCAACGACAGTCCTGGGGGGTCTGCATTAGCGTGAACCTCCGGGGCTGGTGGCCAAGTTTCCATACAGGGCAATGGCCATTTGACCAGAGCCTCCCATGCGGCAGCATAATGACTCTTGGGTTTCATTATGATGTACCCAGGACGAATGCGGGAGAGCACTCCTATGGGGATAGCTACGGCTATTTGAGTTGTCTCCTTAGAGTTCTGACAAGGTGCCGCAAGCCTTAGGGCTCAACACTCTAAAATGGTTTTGACCAACCCATGTGGAGGGGTGGGAATGGGGGAGCTCTGAAGCAACCTCCAGGGGCAGTAAGTTTGTGCAGGTTGCCCTGGTCGCAACCTCATGACAATTAGTATCGCACTCCCAGTTATCTGGGATACCCCCCTCCCCCCGAACATGCACTCTTGGTCCTGGAGGCTTGTGAGGGTTATACTTATGAAGGACCAACCACCTAAGCCAAGGTGTGAGGCATCGTGCCTAGGGCTGCGTGGCACTGGGGTGGTTATTGGCCAGCATCACGAATGATCCCCTCGGGGCACCAGGCATCACCCCTTTGTATTTATGCCTTCCACCTGTATGGGGCTCTGCGGGTGGTGACCTTTAAGTCCCCATTACTCGTGGGAACAAAATGAAAAAGGGACCAAACAGAAAAACCGGTCGTAAGGACCTTAAACTGAAGAGGGACCCCCCCTTTAAGGGGATCCCTATGAGAAATGCTTCAGCAGGGGGCTGGAAGCTATTGTGAACCATTAAGGGGCTCAGAAGCAACCGGCGAATGTACTGTTGCATTCTTAGCCAAAGGCAGGGATGAACCAATGATTCAAAACCTACCAGAGGCAAAACCAAAAACTGCTCTCTCGGGAGTCGTTAGTACTGGCACACCACTGCAGGGAGCCGGTACTTCAAACATACCCGTAGCAGGGGAAAGACTGGGACACCTAGGCTCTGGAATAGGTGGACCCCGTTAGGCGAAGAAACCCTTGTTGGGTGCCGCTAAGCGGCAGTTACAACGGGCAAAAGCTGGGACAGGCAAAGCAGGAACTGAGAGCGGTCAGCAACCGGGAACTGCAAGCTCGTCCAAGCAGGGAGAAACCCCCACCGGCACCTTTAAGAGGCCAAGGTTGGAGGGCAGTACCCCTACAGAAACGGCCAGAACTCTGAAGAAGCCCAGGGACTGTAAAGGACCAGGGACTTACAAGGAGGCTCTGACCAATATAAAGGTAGCTATCTACAAGGACACTTACCCTGAGGATAAGCTTACTGAAGACGACCAAAATTCCATTCTGGAAGCTTTGGGCGAGGTGTTATGTAGGACTCCAAAGGTAGAACTACCACACCTAAAATCATACAGGCTGTTAGGAGGTGCACTTATGTGCCGACCAACAGTCTGGTCAGTGGCTCATCAGAGCCATTGACAACCACAGGCTTCAATCAGGGACCAGGCTGAAGGCTACTGATGCCAGGAACCTGCCCAAGCCTGTTAAAGTAGCTCTCCGGACTAGGGATAAAATTGCCCAAAACCAGGAAGAGATACTGAAATGGATTGCAGATCTTAATCCAGGACTACATACAGAGAACTGGAGGATGTTAGACAAGCAATCTGAGTCGAAAGGCCAAAGGCCTATACTATTCATAGACTGGAACTCCTATACTATTATACAGAGGACCAGTTATAAAATATTTACAGGACTCTCACAGGGGACTGTTAAGGTGCTGGACAATCCTGAAGTTCGGCGCTGGGCAGAACCCGTGACAAGACACTGTATCTTCTAACTCAGTCTCTGAGGAGGAAGGGGATGATGCACCCAGCCCCTCAGATGACCGAAGTAAAATGGATCAGGGGACCTCTTCACATGGAACCCAGTCCAAGATAGAGGAGGGACATAAGATGGAAGCTGATATCTCCTCAATTGGAAGAGATCATGAGATTTCTTCAGATCAACCTGCACCACAGTAAAGCTGCCACGGCAGCTCTGTGCAACGACTAGCTGAGGGCAAGGCAGACATAGCACTTATTCAGGAACCTTGGTTATACAAGAGTCGAATAAGAGGCTTAAATAATATGGGGGGAACAGTTTACTCTGTTGCACCCAGTAATAATGCAAGATCTTGTGTTTATATCAGGAATCATGTTAATGCCTTGCCTTTGCTGGAGCTCTGTTCTAGGGATGCAACAGCGGTAAGGATAACATACCCATATCGAGAAGGCAGCAAGGAGCTTATAATTGCTTCAGTCTACCTTCCATATGACTCAGATGAACCACCGCCAACTAAGGAAATGAGGGACATCACAGACTACTGCTTTAGCAGGAAAAAGCAACTCATCACTGGGTGTGATGCCAACGCGCACCACATTTTGTGGGGGAGCACTGGCACTAACCCAAGGGGAGAGAGCCTTATGGAATTTCTGATGAGTTCGAACCTGAATATTCTAAACCATGGTAACAAACCTGCCTTTGTGGTTTGCGAAGGGGAGAGAGCCTTATGGAATTTCTGGTGAGTTCGAACCTGAATATTCTAATAAACCATGGTAACGAACCTACCTTTGTGGTTTGCAATAGGAAGGAGGTTATTTATTTGACACTTGGGACTAATAACATAGAAAACCTGGTAAGTAATTGGCATGTATCTGATGAGCCGTCTCTATCGGATCATAGATATATATGCTTTAAAATAAGTAACATCACAGTAGATCAAACTACTTATAGGAATCCTAAGAGAACCAACTGGGAGCCTTACAAAGACCCAAAGGTAAATCCGGAGGCCATCTTGTGTAATATACACACAATAAAGGATGTTGATCGGTCCATTGACCAGTTGCAACGGGCTATTATCTAGTCCTTTAATCAGAATTGTCCGGCTAGGACCACTCATGGACCAAGGAGTACAACTTGGTGGGATAAACAGCTGAGTGGGCTTAGGATCAAAACAAGAAGGCTGTTTAACACAGCTAAAAGAACAGGGCAGTGGGACACCTACAAGGAAGCCCTGACCTGTTACAAGAAAGAAATAAGGAAAGCCAAGCAATCCTCATGGAGGAGGTACTGCCAGGAGATCAATGATGTACCAGACTCATGAGAATCATGGCAAAACAGGCGACCAATAAGGTCAGCACAATGAAGCTGCCTAACGGACAGTATACTCAAACAGGAAGGGAGACGCTGAATGAATTATTCAGAGTTCACTTTCCTGATTCAAAATTGATTGACAAATTGGACAATGGACAGGGTCAGCAGAACCTGGACACTTGCCAAAGCAAGATGGACAGGGTAGACTGGGACCTGGCTAGAGTCATAATTAATCAATCAAAAATAAGATGGGCACTGAACACTTTTAGACCATTTAAATCAGTGGGAACGGATGGAATTGTACCCGCACTTTTGCAACATGGGGCAGAACTTTTAGTTCCACACCTATGTCGCATATATAGAGCCTGCTTGGCATATGGTTTTATCCCCACAGCCTGGAGGCAAGTTAAGGTGACGTTTATTCCAAAGCCCGGGAAACTTGATTACACCGAGGCTAAGGCTTATCGCCCCATCAGCCTGTCGTCTTTCCTTTTGAAAACGATGGAGAAACTAGTGGATAGGCATGTTAGGGACGGGGTACTGAGGACATGTCCTCTACACCAAAACCAACATGCCTACCAAACAGGTAAATCTACCGAAAGTGCACTACG